TTCTGAAAAATGTGGTCTCCTGGGAAAAGCCAGTAATTTGTTCCCCTTAGTGTTAATGAAAAGGAAAGCGAGGGTTGGGGAAAAGATGCCAGAGAACTGTGCCATGGGACCGTGTCATCTTAACTGTCCATGGCTGATGAGGCCTGGCTTAATTGCATCAGGAGTAAAATAGCCCCTCAGATGCAATTTTGATGACTGCTCTCAGCAGTCATCCATCATACCTTCTTTCTGCCCACGGGAGGCCCCAGCTGCAGGGGGAGGGGGCTGGCCTGCCCCCAGGCCAGTCAAGCTGGTCTTAGGGAGGCAGGGGGAGGCAGAGGCCTTCCCAGTGTGGCTGCATCCTGCCCAGAGGAGAGGTAGGCGCTGCCTTTCTCCTCATGCCACTTTGGATCACCCCTCCCCCTGAACTGTCCCTACCATTTGCCCCATTCAGGTCTTGAGACCAGAGATTCTGAGGCCCTCCAGCAGGGAGATTCTTCCCCCATCTCCTCCATCGTCATCAGTAGGTCCAGAGGCCCTTCCAGCGGCTCAGTGAGCTCTGAAATTGCAGCAGATGGCACAGGCTCTGGCGGCTGGCAGGGAGGAATCGTTTCCACCCCTCTGGGGCCTCTCTGTAGAGCTGGGGGCTCTGGAGGGCAGCAGAGAAGCTTAGACAGCCTAGGGCAGTGCTTCTCAGCAACAAGTACCGACCAGTCGGAGGACACACACCTCCTTCCAGGGCCTCAGCCAGAGTGCAACTGCCGTGGGGACATCTGAGGTCCATGACCTCTAATTAGTGGTCATTCAGCCACCCCATAGCAAATAAATATATTCTGAGGCAGACCACGTGTTTGTGGCTGGAGTGCAGCCACACCTGACCTCCCTCCTGATGGTCTGGTCTGATGGTCTGGAGGTCACTGTCTTGCTCAGCGAAGGCACGAGCTTTGGCCTTTCCTCGCTGGCACTAAAGCCAGGCCCCCTGCTTTGGATAGGTCCCCAAACTGGGAGCCAGGAACACCATGCCCTCACCTTAGCTGGTCGTTGGTATCTTGGAAGTGCTGCCGAGCAAAGATCACAGCTGGGCTGGAATTGACAGGCAGGGCCAGGCGGTTGGTGAGATACATGTCATTCAGCCAGTACTCAGACACCTGCCAGGGGTGGGGGAAGTAGAGGCACATCTTGACATTCCCCTGTGTCCTTTGGGGGACACTGGACCCATCCTGGCAGCCCCGAGAGAAAATCAGGACACTTCATTGGCGCATTCACTTCATTCATTCATTCATTCCACAACATACACTGAGCTCCAGTTATACTCTAGGGCTCGGTGTGCCCCAGGCCACTCAATTGTCTTTCATCTTTGCCCTGCACTAGCTCCCTTCTTCCATCCTGGTTTCTCATCCTGGTGGCTTGGCACTCCCACCCCAGGCCCCCGCCCATCCTTATGCATGTCTCTCTCATGCCTGTCACCCTCTCTGCTTCCCTGCCTTCTTCTCTGTCCTCATCTCTCCCCCATCCCTTCTCTGCCTGGCCCTTACCCTGGCCCCTGGCTGTATGCCAATCCATGTCGCTTGTCTGTTCCCATCACTCCCCCATTCCTGTCCCCTTTGCCCCATCTGGCCTATATTTGTCCCCGTCTGTCCCTTGCTTAAATCCTTCTGTCCATCTCCAGGTCTGCCCTCTGCCCCCTCCCCGGGTGTTTTGCCTCCCCCGAGACCTCTTACCCAGTTGGCTGTCTTCTCCTGCCGCTCCAAGAGTTTTTTTTGCAGGGTCTCACCGAGGCTTCCAGGGGACCCAAACCTCTGCACAATGGCTTGAGTCTTCTGAAACTGCTCCTCAGGGACCAGGTGCTGCATGCACTGCAGGTAAGTGGCCAGGGTCTGCTGCAGGGGGGGCACCGGCAGCTTGGGCAGTGCCTGGAAGAGAAGGTTCACGGGCAT